TTTCACTCTCATTTTGTAATGTGCAGAAGCTTTTAAATCTCAAATGTTACTATTTTATTTAACACTTGGACAGAAGCATGTCTTTAAAGTCTTTCTGGAGCTGTATGGACGTCAGTTATACACATGGCTAAGGCGATGTGTTTTAAAACTAAAACATCGTAGAGTAGATGTAGCCTTGGATGTCACAATTGATTCCTGTTGATTCATGGATGCTAAAATTTACTGTGAATAAAGACCCAACAAATGTAAGCTATGTTGCACTGCTGCTACTTGCTGTCGTGGCTTCATAGATCTCATTTTCATGAAGAAGGAATCTTCCCTGTCAGGACTTGGTTAAACGACACGTTTACAAGCCTTAATGCATGTGATCTCACTGCAACTCAGACACTTTGAACCAAACATAAAAGCTGAGAAACTGAGAATAAAAAGGCAAAAACTGTTACTGAATTCATTTTCTTCTTTGATAATGGTTATAGTCAGATTTTTGTTGAGTTGAAATACATCAACTGAATGTGCAAAAATTGTAATCCTAAATAATAAAATCAGCTTATCCCCAATGTCAAGACTTTTCACAAAAAAATGTCTGGCATTTGTTATTTGTGGAAGATCATTGATTTATTAGTTTGTAATGTAGCAGAGTAGCGCTACATGAATTTCAGGTGGGAAAAGCAGAGTTTTAGTCATGAATGTGGACAGCCACATCTTTTTTTCACAAATTGTTGTTCTGCAGAGCCAACTCAGGCAAGAAGCAGGAAAAAAAAAGAACATGGGCCAGCCAGGACCCACTGAGCTTTTTTCCAGCCTGGTGAAAAGAATGAATAATTCAACAGTAAGCAAGCTTTCAGCTGGCCATTTGTGTGCTTTGATCTATGAATCAGGAGTTTGCATGAATGCCTGTATTGTCATGTCATGTTTCCATAGTGTGTGAATTATTGGAAATAGTGCAGCCCTCCCCCTCCTCTACTACATCTAGTAAAGTTTACACTGCAGGTGTGGGGTGCAGGCTGGTTGACCTGTCACCCCCCAGATGTTGATGTTTATGTGTCCAGTGTGGTCACATGACTGGGTCCCTGTGGGTTGGCCTGGTTTAAATGTTCAGTGTGAAAAGAGCTTAGGGGTCAACCTTCAACAAACTCTAACAAACATGACGTCAATCCCCTCCCCTCTGCACAGAGAGCAAAATGTGGAGGTGGGGCATGCAGCCAGGTGCTGCAGGTATCAAAGATATCATGTTGCTGACAAGTTTGTGCTTTTTTTTTTTTTTTTAAATTAAAACTAGTAAGATGCTCCAATGGTCAAGTTAGTTGACAAAACTTTGTAATGGAATTTGTGAGAAAAGAAAATAGCAACAAAGACAATTTCAACACCTTGGTTTACAGGCAAAATGTGCACAACTGCACTGGTTCGTACTTTTGTTCTGTGTCAACATGATGATTTCTCTGAGCTTTATTATGGTTATGAAACCATTAATTAATAGTAATTGGTCGAGCGATCCTCACTTGCAGCCCCACTACATGGACATAGCAGGTTTTGAGGGTTTTAATTGAAGCTAGCTATTACCCAGCTAGCATGAGCAGGACATAAGATCGCTGGTGCCACGCAAGATGAGGCTTTAGACCGGTTACCTCCACCAGGGAGTTTATGTTACTATGTATATTTGTCTGTAAGTAGGATAATGCAAAAACTACAGTACCGATTTAATTGAAACTTAGTGGAAAGGTGGGATATGGACCAAAGAGCAACCCATTAACTTTTGGAGCAGATTTGATTAAGGTGGCAGTTTGAGGATTTTCTTTATCATTGTGAGGTGTTTCGTGACATTTGGAATAATTCATGGTTCTTAAAAAGAAATCTGATGATATTGAAAATCCATGAGGATGTATAACTTGGTGAGGCTTAAGGGGACTGTTCGCTCTTGGCGGAGGTATGCGCCATACCATTCTAGTTACGTTTCCATTATACCAACGACAAAAGCGTCCAGCATTGTTCTCTTGTCTATAGATCCATCCGAAGTGTCTGTTTATGTTCTCCATCACATTCTCTGATCCCTGCTGTGCCTCCAGTAATAGAAAATGCCTTTTGTTCTGATTACCTGAGATACAGCTTATTAGCACATGTGCAACACGTTGTGGTCCCATTGTGTCGTAATAATAAAGTAAGACCATTAATTGATAATGAAGTGAATGTAGAAAAATGTGTCATTATATTGAGGGTTTGGTGCATTTCACAGAGGAGCAGAACAGATCCATGGCATTGGTGGGCTACAGCTGGACACATAATTAGAGAGCCTCCTTACCTATAATTTGTGTAATAGTTTTGGTTGGCGGCATGTTATTACCATATGAAAGGGCTAAGCTGGGGTCATGTGCATTGCTACAGCAATTAGAGCAGAGCTGAGGGCAGAAGAATGTTTGGAGCTGTTGTTAATTGGAAATCTCTACAAAGCTATGCTTTAATTATAATTTAGTCAGAGCTGCACTGTTTTAAACCCAATATATTCAGTAGCCATTATTTTCTGTAATAGTATGAACAGCTAGGTCTGTTTCCTTTCAAAGTGTCGGGCTTTGAAGAGAATGAGATTGAATTAGATTAATTTGAAAGGCTGTGCTGCTGCTGCCAGGTTTTTAATGCTGATGTCACATGGTGTTTTCACAGGGAAATTAGATCTGGTTTGTTTAGAAGATGTACATACCTTCTGTCTTGTACGGCTGCACGTGCTATAGGTGCTTTGTCTATATAATTGCATGACCACTACCTAAAAAGTCTCCCAGGGTAATTAGAATTTTCCTCATTCACAATTTGTATCTTCACACACACACACACACACACACACACACACACACACACACACACACACCTGTAAACCCCATGGTGTGTTTTTTTGCAGAATGTGTTTTAAATTTCCACTCCTCCCTCAGCAGTCAGAGGTTTTCAGAGATTTTTTTACAGCAAACAAATCTCCCTTTATTTTCTTGTTCACACAGGTCGAAATGAGCTGATAGCCAGATACATCAAGCTTCGGACTGGGAAGACGAGGACTCGGAAGCAGGTACGACGAGAGGAGATGTCTATGTCAGATCTGGATGTGTGCAGTCCGTCGCCTTTGTTACTGAGATCAACAAAGCTAGACAGAGAGTATCACAGTGCTAAGCGGTCCAGGGCACATCTGAAGCTGACAGGCATCAGAAATCCCTGGATTACTACATTTCCAAAATATGCATCAATATGAAATGTAGTTCTTACTTGGTTTGTGCAGTTTTCCATTTTAAAAGCTTTCATGCAGCATATCAACCTTTTTACCTTAAATCCAACCTGCCAATATTTACAGTAAAGCAGGTACTGTACATAGTACAAGTCTAAGATAAGTGTTGTTGTTTGAGAGAGGAGCCTGACAGTGCAAGTATTCATCATGTATTTCATGATTCATTCATGTATGACTACATCACAGAGGTCATGCACTTTGCAGAAAGAGAGGCCTTTATTAACAGGAAGGTCGAAGCCTTAATGGATTGGTACCATCTCTGATCAAAGAGTATGTGCAGCGAGTGCATCCTGCTTTCTGCATCCCACTGTATCACTCTTCTCCTTCCAAAGAGATGAACTCAGATTTTTGAATCAACTGTGAAAATAAATAGATAAAAGGAAAGAAAAAAAAGAAAAGTTAAAATACACTATGCTATAAAGAAAGGAATGAGAAAAACCTAAACTAACAGCAATCATACATTCATACAGTCGTCCAGTCATACATTTATCAAAAATATTGCACATGATGTATTGCACGTGGGATTGTATTTCACATGGTGATGATATATTACACATGGTAGGTTATCTAGCAGCATTTAGTAATGTAACGGCTGATGGGTAAATAATGTTAATACATTGAAATTAAGGGCTCTTGTTCTCTCTCTCTCTC